TGATTCCCTTCAGCAATGAAAGCAGCCTAATTAAAGCTTACGGGTTTGTTGGAAGCCAGTCATGTGGCGATGACACCTTTTGTGACGATAGCAATACGGCGCCCATCGACCGGTCACCACATATGGCCAGGCTGAGTTCACTTGTTCGCCGAGCTTCGGAATTGGGATGCAAACGTTTCATCACCAAATGAGGTGACTTCGTCAGTGCGCTGCTGGGTCAAATGTAATCCGCTGACTTGTTCGTCAATTACATTGGACCCAGCAGCGCACTGACGAAGTCACCTAGTTTGGTGCTGAAACGTTTGTATCCCAATTCCGAAGCTCGGCGAGTAAGTGAACTCAGGAACGATCAACCCGAGCTACCAGTGCATCAAGTCATACGGCCAGGCTGTTTTTTCAGTTGCTAGCATAGCGACACACTTCGCAGGAAACGCTTTTGCGGACTTTTTATCTACATGAAGGCCGACTACCGATTGATGGAAGCATGACAAGTTCAGTGCGGCCATGTGGTGTCCGGCTCACGTCCACTTCTCACAGCTGAAAGGCGTGCGTTCCTTAGGTCTTGCCATGCGGTCGAGGCATGATGCATTCATTGCGGCCGTGGTGTCTGGCTAACGTTCACTTCTCACAGTGTGTGCTCTGCGATCATGGGCACACATGTGGCGTCTGTGTCCCATCTCACTCCTGCCGGCAAAGCAATTTATGCCATTGGACAGTTAGCAAATCAGCGTACCGGTTATACGTCAGCACCTGAGTGCAGCCGCTCCTAGCTCCAGACCACATTGGCATAACACCCGGTAGTTGTACATTGCTCCACCGTCACTGGTTCTGGAGCAGAATACGATTCAGGCTGCGCTCTGGCCTTTGAGTCAGTGTCTCGTGTGCGTTCGTGGTCCCTGTGTCTGCGCACGATTTGCCCATCCGGGCGCTGCAACTCACGTTGGGTCCCTGCCGCATCGATTACGGTTGTAGGCTGCCAATATTTTTCCTGCCGTTGTAAACTGGTTGATGTTCCTCAAATTTGGCTTCCGTCTTTGACTCGTTTGGGGACCGATATTTCTTCTGTCGCTGCTTTATTCCAGCGCGCGTGTTGTGGAAAAGCATGTGAAGCCTCGTCCTAAGATTTCTACCGGACATCAATTCCGCCGGGGATTTACCAGTAGTCTTATTGCGCGTCGTACGGTAGGCGAATAGAGAGCGGTCCAGTTTTGTTTCTAACGTTTCCGTTCACTGCTTTTGTATGGCTTGTTTTTACCGTTTGATGCTGGATTATACAGGACCGCTTTAGTGTTCTGAATTGCATTATTGGTGACTAATTTTTTGGAGAAACTGCCAATAAAGAGTGAACCGTTGTCTGTGCATAAACTTTCTGGCATGCCAAACGCAGCAAATGAAGAGCGCATTTTGTTAATTGTTGCTTCCCACGTCCTTTGAGCAACTGGGTGTACATCGATCCACTTAGAACGTGCATCAATAAGTCGAAAGAACATCGTCCCATTGATCGCTCCGAAGTAGTCAGCGTGAATCCGCTGCCACGGCTTGTCGGGCCAACGCCGCGGGTGCACTGGACCGGGTAGTTTGTTACGTTGATGAGCCTGACAAACGTCGCAATTCCTCAATAAGTTTTCTATGTGTGAGTGGATGTTGAGCCACCAACAGTGTCCTCTTGCTAAGACTTTCATTCTTACCGTACCTGGATGAGCATTATGTAGTTCCTTGAGCATCTATGAACGCGCCTTCACAGGAGGGACCAGCCGAAAGCCCCACAAAACGCCACCACTGAATAAGATCAGTTCCTTCCTGCGAATCATGAACGTCTGTAAATCAGCTGTTCCTTCAGAGGGCCAACCTACCGTCAAAAATCGTTTCACCATTGGCGGTATTGGGTCTCGGTCTGTCCACTGACTATTGTTGCACCTAGTATCGGCGTTGTGTCTAGATTTCGCATTAAATTAGCTACTTCAAACGGAAGGTCATTTTTTCTGTGTAGTTTCACTTATTAGCAGACGGCTTAGTGTATCGGCTGTGTGGTTGCTGACACGTAAAATAAACAATCTTGTAACTTTAAGCACTCAATGTTACAGCCCATCGTTGTATTCTGGGTGATGCCATCTGTTGAACGCCTTGCTTTCTCCCAGCAACCATAGTAAGGGTTTGCAATCCGTGTGCAGCTCGAAGTAATTCCCCCATAACTCCTGGTGAAACATCTTTACCCGAAAGATTATGGCCAAGGCTTCCTATGAAGTTGTGAGCAATTTTTCTCTGCAGTTTGTAGGGTGCGCGATGCAAGTGCTATGGGACGTAAAGGACAGTCGTTTAAGTGGTGGCACAGGACAGTCCCGACTCCACACGGAGACGCGCCACATTGAAGGATGAGTGGCTTGGCGGAATCATAATGTACTAACCTTGGTTGGGAAGTAAGAGCCTGCTTAGCCCTTTTGTAGGCATCCTGCTGACTAGAACTCCAACGCCATGTTACCCATTTGGGCAACAGTGCATTTAGTGGAGACAAAATCGTGGACACGTTATGCAAGTATCGGCAATAATGAGACAGCGTGCCTAAGAACGCACGAAGTTCATCAATGTTCTTCGGCTCGGGACTCTCTAAAATTGGTTTCACTTTGTCATTTAGGACATGTAACCCGTGTTTATCAAGCGGAAGAAGAAAGGAACTCACATTTGGATTTTAGTCTAAATCCGTTCCATTCCCAACGCTCGAGTACGACAGTGAGTGTACGAAGATGTTCTGTGTCAGAGCGTCCGGAAATGAGAATGTCATCAAGATAGACACTGGCAAAAGGTATGATCTTTACTAGATCGTCAGTAATCCGTTGGAAGATCCCAGGAGCAGAACTTAGGCCAAAAGACGGGCGAGTATATTGGAATAGTCCCATTTGTTTGGTAATCGTAGTAAGTTTCCTCGACGGTTCGTCGAGCTCTATCTGCGAGTACGCATGACTGAGATCAAGTTTGGTAAATTCATCACCACGTGCCAGTGTTGCGTACAAATCACCAATGCGTTGTAATGGGTACCTCACTAGCATGGAAGATTGATTAACAGTCATTTTATAATCACCACAAATCCGTACAGAGCCGTCAGGTTTGGTCACAGGCACAATTGGTGTTCCCCAGTCTGAAAATTGTACAGGAGTAATAATACCCTGGGTTTGTAAGCGATTTAATTCTTCTTCGACTTTAGTCCTCATAGAGTATGGTAGTGTGCGCGCTTTGATGAATTTTGGCCCAGCGCCTTCCTTTAATTTTATCGTAGCCTGAAATCCTTCCAATTTCCAAAGTTCATCGGCAAAAATAGGGGAATGTTGTTTTAGCAAGGCTTCAAGTCCCGAGACCTCTGTGACTGTTTTTACCACATCCAATGTATTCGGGAATGCATGTATCCAGTCTCTTCCTAACAGATTTTGACGATTTCCAGCGCTTATATGTACAGGAAGCCTTTGTATCCTGTCGGCATATTGTGCCTTTAAGAAGCATTCTCCAAAAACAAGTTTGGGTTCACCAGTGTACATACAAAGAACGGAACTGCAAGAGGATAAAGGTGGCCGTACTTTTACAGCATTTTCTCCCATTTTTGTCACGGATGCTCCTGTAACGATCTCCATCTGTACTTTCTGTTCTTCAATGTTAAGCTGCAGGGTGTATGACGCTGGCCGCGTACTAGGAACGGTATTCAACCATATCATATGCAACTCAGGCTCGCTAACATTCGACTCGCCCACACTTTTGATTGGTAAGTCCAACCTGAACACCCTTTGACCGATCTGCACACTTGTGCCAGGTGGCCCACCTTGCTGCAGTTCCGACATACCGTCTTCTGATGTCGACAGTCAGATGGGCAACTGTGCCCGTTCACCACAACGGTAGAACACAAATAATTTGAGGCTAATGAATGCCCGTCTTATTTTTGGAGTCCTGTTCACCAATCTCAATTCTTTTGATGAGTCTTTCGAAGTGAATGTTGCCAGTGGTTGAGTGCTGTTCTTCCTCTGCTTAGCTATAGAACACGCTGTTTCCTACGTCAATGAACAACCATCTTGTGAAAGGATCTTCTCTCGGCTGTTTTGGCCTGAGATTCACGAGACCAGGCACTGGAGTAGCGCAGTTTCTCCTATTCTCGCTGACTCGATTTCGTTGTGTTTGCAGCCAGGTACCGCCTGCAGCACACGAGCGATGAACTTGTTCACACTTTCGTCTTATTTCTGAAAGAGCTTGGAGAAGCAATATCTAGCCGTAAAAGCATTTTGACGAACACCCCGAACTGCACTGAATGTGTCCTGAGTCCTAGCGATGGTAAGATGTCATCAATACAGAGAGCGCCAAAATATCTTTGGCCCTCATCCCCAAGAAATTGTTGTAATAATTTTACTTTATTTTTCTCCGTAAGAGACACTGCTAGGTTCAAGATTGTAAGCAGTTCCAGGTAAATAATAAAATTTTTCCATCATCGATTCCAAGTATCAAAACGTTTGTCGGTAAAACAAGACCAGAAGACCGGTGGAGCATTTGCTATAAATATGTTCACCTCTGTCGCCAAATGTCACGTCTCGCTCTTAGTAGTACTTATATCGGCGTTTAGCCTGAAAGAAGACAACACGCGGACGGGAACATTTCATTCAAAAAGTGATCCGGTACAAGTTACAAGAAATGAATTAGGTGTTGATGTGTGCGTGCGTGCCTACGTGTTTAAAGGACCCAATCAGAGCGGGTGCATAGTCGGCGATCGGTAAGATGCATGTGACAATAATACACTCTGTTCGAATTAACCGACGCACCTTCCTTTTCGCGTTCTGCGCTACATCCTGCTACGTTGGGCTTCCCCTTTCCGACTATTGGTTTGCGCCATGAAATAGCGTCGAAGGTTTACACATCCTACCCACATTGTTTGAGACTTGTTTCAAGCCGTCATCCACTTTTCATTGTTACTCACGGTGATTGGCAAATATCGCATTCCCCTCATTTGTTCATCTATTGTCTCCTATCAGAGAAAGAAACCCGCATGGCATTTGGTTGGAAGCAGAGACGTACGATGCGCTTATCAAAACAATCGAACAGGATTGTCTGGTGAGTGATATTTCATCACTCTCGTGGCTAAGGTAAACTTCGTCTGCTCAAGTCAGCGCTATTTCTGCATTTTGCACCATCTACTGCCAATCTATTAAAATACCATCATCAAAAATCGAGTTATTTTACACAAGGGAATTGTGTACGGATGTCATTCGAACATTCAGTTTCGCACCGCATCGCTGACATGCTCTGGGTCTCCAGGTAAGAGTGACAGGTACGATGATACCGAATTATGGTTTGATGTTCTATGTCAAGCTCAAACGGGTATGAAAAACGGATGGAGTTTCTGGTGCATCACTCTGCGCTGAGTGAAACGGTACTAAACGTCTGTTGATTCGGGAGACTTGGAAGAAAAAGCCACGTACTTTGCGAATCGTTCCGCTGACATGCGTGGACCTGGCTATAGTTTGTATAGAAAAGGACATCTAGATACTCGGTGTTGTATAGGCGAAGTATGACTTGTTCCATCACATGCAGAACAGGGAAGACGCTGAAATCAGAATGTGACGTTTTGGCACAAGAGAAATGCTCACATTTCATCCCAGCATTTGGAAACCTTATGAGCAATGTAATGGGACGATGACCGTGCCACAAGCTCATCTTGGGCTTACTGAAAACTCGGTGTCCTAACACTAGGAACAATACTATCAAGGAACTCATTGACATATTTACAACCAAGGACTTGGTTGCAGAGGAGTTTTCATTTTACCCAAAAAAGGAAGCTCTCTGCGTAAAATACATAATCACTCAGAAGCGTAGGGGGATTTTTGCCGTGTAGCTAGGTAAAGTCAGTGTCGTTCACCAACTAACATGAGTACAGTTGGGTGGACACCTTTCTCAGACTACCAGTTAAGCAGCATAGGTCTGTCAATATTTGCAAAGGTCTTTGAATAGTCAAGGAATGATAGCTGTATTTTGCTGCATTTGTTGGCTTTTACAGAGGCGGTCGATGAACATGAGTAGACACTGCATCCACTTTGAGTCATTGGGATATGTAGGTAACCGAATACTAGCTAGAATCATCTTTTTGTACGTGTATTAGGTTGAAAACCATGAAACGGGCGTTTTTGTTTAGTCCATGTTCAGCTGCGACTGAGAGAGGTTCATTGTAACGTGCGCTCGATATTTTTATTTTTAAATTTTAGAGGTATTTCTCTTACACATTTCTTAAAAATGTTTGATTTTTGTAACCCAATTTTTATTTTATTTTTCTCCGAAACCAGATGAAAAAATACGCGATTTATATATACTTTTCTTGTATGAGTTCAAATTGAAATATAGCGCGGCTCAAGCTTCGAGAAACACTAGTCACGCATTCGGAGATGGATGCACTGCTGAAAAATTTGCTCGATATTGCTTCCAATAATATCGTTCTGGCAATTTGGGTATCGTCCAAGGGCCTCGAGAAAGATCACCATATTGCCCATATTGCTAACGAGAAGTTAAGGGCGACTGTGGAATCCAATCCACACACAACTATTCATGAACTTGAGTGATAACTAGGAACTAGCCATATGGCTGTGTTAAAACATCTGCGTGCAATGAATAAAATAAAAATATTGGACTCGTGTGTCATACGAACTAACCCAACTGCAGGTGGTCGACCGCAAGAGCAAGTGCGCGGATCGGCGCAATATTAATGCATGATAACGCGCGATCACAGAAAGCTTCAATCATTGTTGACAAATTGACTTCTCTACAGTATGAAATTTTACCACATCCTTTATATTCACCAGCTTTTTCACCGACCGACTATTACCTTCTTCGTAATTCTGAAATATTTTAAGATGCGAAAAAATTCAATAACCACAATGATATTATAAAACACTGACTCGTTTATTAACACTAAAAATGAAGATTTCTTTCAAAAAGGCATATTTGACTTGCCCAATCGTTGGCAGAAATTCGTAGATGCCAATGGAAGTTATTTCGATTGAATATAATACCTAATGTGAAAAATTGCGCATTTCATTTTTTGTTCAACGCCTGTTTCATATTTACCAACCTAATATTTCCCGATTGAGTCTCCATATTTTTTGAAGGTGCCTCAGGTTGATGTTCTTAAATCTCACGCTTATAGAATAGGACGGTCTTCACTGTTTTTTTTCAACCAGCCTTCCAGACCGAGGGAAATCCCATTCTGACGCTACCGATGTCGCACATGCAGGAAAACAGTTCTATCTTTCTCAATTCGTGGCTCAGCATATAGACTCATTCTAACTCTTTCCTCCATTCCCTACAGGTTTTGGAATCGCTGCAAATTATGGACTATTCACTTCTATTGGGCATACACAATTTGGACAGAGCTAAACGTGAAAGAGTGGGTCCATGTTTTTGTTCGCACCGAATACTCTGTGATAAATTTGCCACCTCATTCTAGCCAGTCTATCCAGCTGCCAGTTGGTTTTTCTATGCCTTTTGAACTCGTCGGTTCACAGTATCTCACCTCCCTTCCGTCTACTAACAAACACTGCGCTAACCTTCAGTCATCCGCCATCCTATCACTCCTTGTTGCATTTCGGTTGCTTAGCGATAATCTGACGTTTGATGCTCATTGCTTCAGTTTGCGCAACCCCAGTCACCATTATATGGTAGAGACAAACAAAATCAAACCATAGTAGGTGGAGTGTGGCTGCGATACGAAGTCTAGACTAAGAGCACCGTACGAAGCGGAAAGCGGACAACTCTGGTCTAGTAAACCTAAGCTTAACGCCTGGTATAGCCAGAGGAACTATCACATGTACTCGCGTAATGGTGGTTCTGTGATGTACAATAAAGACTCGATAACTCACGAATAGGTTTGCAATCGTAATGAAGAAGGACAGACAATTTAAGGCGTGTTGTGGTAGCTTGCAGCAACGTTATAATGTAACAGTTTGCTACTCGATAGTCTGCCGATGGTGAATCACTTCCTCCTTGAGGAGGAGTCAAGAGTGCACTGGGGTGGTGCCGTGCACGATTTGAATTCCCAGAAGCGTACAAACATGAAATTCCTAATGGGGAAGGGTTTTGGAATCGGGAGACTATTTTCTCAGTCAGCCCAGTTTGAGGTGTAAATCATGGCTCCACTTAGACTTCACACAGTGACCGAAGGCTGATGTGATTACCATTTCTAGTGAAATGGAATGTTAGGGAAGAATTGTGATGGCATGCAAAATTAACAGATATTGACAGCAGTCCTCTTCACTTCCGAAGAAATTTTGTACTGTCGATAATGCAGATACCTCCGGCTCAATCCATTGGAGCTCTGTGCTCCAAGCTGAACGTGTCTTTTGATTAAATTCTTGCTTCCTCGCTATCCCTCTAACTATTCATCCTGGGTTTTCACCATTTGGGCACACTATCGGAAAACGGTGAATGCTGTTGTATCTGGATCTGAACTTGTACTGCCTTGCTTACCTTTACCACACACTGCGGCTGACAACCACTAAGTGATTTACGAATCAGTCATACCAGCTATATCAATAGTTATCATCCAGACGAACTCAACCTCTACCGTTTCCTCGTTGAAAGCCCGATATAGTTTAGAAATACATCCTCAGCTTGGTTGGCATCGAGTACGAGAGTCACGGGTTGCTTTTACAGGTTAAATTTTTGGTTATTGGTTTTCTCTCATTGTTATTAAGTCAGCACTTGTAGTTCATCGTTATCATAGCTGAGCAAAACTTTAAATTTCAAGGCTTCTCACTCAGCACCGGAACCTTCAGTTGGTAGCTTCGATACGATCTAGTTTGTCGGGGATGAACGAGATGCATGAGGCAAATTCAGAAAGAGTTGTCTTTCGGGCACCATAAAACAAGTCCCTGTAGTCACTTATCTGTTCGGTTTAAACACGTTTGCAAGATATATAGGCTCTAGATATTGTTTAATTTGCTTGATTTTTACATGCTAGTTACCTTTGTAATTTAGTTTCTATATGCTTAATATTCTGATGTCACTTGACCATGGAGCTTACTTGAGCTCAAGCACCGGTTGGCTTGCCGGACAACCTCCTCGTGGTACCAACTGAGTGGTCCTTGCATTTTCTATGCCAGAAAATGCTTCAGATGTTTCAGGACATGATGGGTTTCACCTGGCAAGCGTTCTCCCTATAAGGCTGTGCCGCAGCGTATACGAATTGCCACCGATTGGAATCACTGCCCATTGTTTCAATCCGTTTGAGCACTGTATTCCAGTGGCCTTTTGCTGATCTAGTGGGGATGATTGGGCTCCTGTTTATCAACCGACCAGACGAAAGGCGTATGAACTGAGCAATCAGTCACTCGTTTCCATCGGGTATCATTCCTCAAATCCGCCGTCCTGCATAGCGAGTAGACTATTTACTCAAAGCTTTGGGGTAGTGTCCCCTAACTCAAGTCCCTACTTCGGCTTGGGCAACCGAATATTATCTCGCTCTGGGACAAATAATCACAGAATATTCTACACTGGGCCCATTTGCTGCTGTTTCTGCTATTTGTTTTACTCAGCTTCATCCAACGCCAACTGTTCATTTGTTAGCAATCCCTGTAGTCCGTTATACGGCAAGATTTCCCTTGCACTTGGAACCTTGATCCTCTTGCTGTGTGTTATGCTTCAACGTGCGAGCCTTCATGCATATTTGACAGCAAGGCGGTCTGGCGCGCACCCTAAGGTCCCTCGATGTTGATGTCCGCTACCGTTCCGTAACCCGATTACAGGACACTAGTATACTGTGCCTACGCTGACATTCCACACGAACCACGGAGCCATGTATGACTTGCGTCTTTCTGGAGACCCAGAAGCAGCCTAATCCGGTTTTGCTAGTGGGTTTGCTGGCACGACTGTAGCCGGTTAACAGTGGATTGTATGCGGTTCGACTTTGGGATTCATGTAGAATCATTAAGCGTCGCGAGGACAGGTGCGACTTGTTTGTGTTCTCCGCTTACGCTCCAACTGACTGCAGTGGTGGTTCGGTCACGGACGACTTTTAGCGTAATCTTCAACAGCTCTTTAGTAACGCTAACACATCACCGGGGTTTCATGCTGGATTTTCCCTTTACAAATTTCAAAATGACAATAAGAAATTGTATTGTAGCAGGGTACACTGGATTCATGTATTTCGGGTATTCTCGTCAGCTATACACATACAATCCGTGAAATTATCGCGTGGCGTACAAGTGGAAGCGGTGTGCAAGCTCATCCAGTTTAAATAAGAACGATCAATGGCCTCACCACAGCAAAGAGAACCTTGTCAGTCTGCTTGCACAACTTGATCTTCAGCCGCCGAATCCGTGAAGCAGGCGGGCATTGCTCTGTTGACAAATGACACAAGGATTGCCGAGGACTTTGGTCTGTAGCACAGTCTAAGATGTGCTGCGCTATAGAGCTAGCCGGCAGTTTGGATCCTTTCGCGACCATGTTTCGTGGGACGTTCTCTGAAATCCTAGTGGACAGCTTCCGCTCAGTTCGGCCGACGTACTTGCTACCCCAAGTACAGTGAAAAAGGTAAACACAAGAAGCGGTAACTTGAACGTCTGGCTTGTCCAGGTTGGATTTACCCCGCAACTTTCTCTCCTGGTGCAATAACACCAGTTCACGGAAACTTCAGCGATTCGGCGGCTGAAGCTCAAGTTGTGCAAGCAGACTGAGTTTAGGACAAGCCTCTCTTTGCTGTGGTGAGGTCATTGATCGTTCTTATTTAAACTGAATGAGCTTGCACACCGCTTCCACTTGTACGCCACGCGATCATTTCACGGATTGTATGTGTACAGCTGACGAGAATACCCGAAATACCTGAATTCAGTGAATCATGTTACAATATTTTTTCTTGCTATTTCGAAATCACTGGGACTTCATTGTCCAGATTGACCGCCTGTTAACACGTGCTCATCACCTTCGTGGTCACCACGCCCTCGATGAGAACCGCTCAGATGACTGAGACACACTTCTCACATTATGTGAAGACAAACATTTGTTTCGAGCACCAACTTCAAGCATACGAAGAAACATTTTGCAACTTGACGTCCCGCCCCGCTAACGCAAGCGTGCTCACAAATTGTTCATATTGCAGTTCGTTTCGCTTGGCCGGGCAGCATTCCGGACTGATGGTCATTTCAGTCCACGTTCATTGGTTCAGCTCATGCATTGGTCTGTGCAAACTCTGTATGTCTTGCTGTGTCCTCGAAAACAAATCTCCACAGGATTGATGAGAATAGATTGGCTGATTTCTCCGTCCAAGTGAGCTATCAGTCTTCACTGACCGACGCATTCAGTTGCCATCCGTTGCAAAACATTGAGCAACATAGGACTTGTATACGACAGAAATGGCCACTTTCGGGCAATCAAACCGTGTCCTGGCTCGACGCCTTTTAGTGGCTTGAATCTCTGCTTGCTCTCCAAAGCTATTCGACCGCCGCAGTGATATCGCGACGGTATCAGATTACATCGAGCGGCACTGCTTTGCGAATTGGCAACTTAAGCAAAGCCTGCGCAAGGACCGTGAACCTTGGTGTTTTGAGCGTGCTTTGGAGATAAGAACCGCTGCACTCCGCAATACTCGTAAACTTTTCAACTCGTTCGGTCCACTGGCCTTAGAAAGCCTGGTGTCGGTGGGGTTTTAATTGAGTCTGAATACCGGTACTTCGGGCGAATTCGCTCGAAGCTCAGTACCTGCTAACAAGCTACTTGCTATTACGCACTTAATATGCTACCCCGATTGGTAGTGGTGAAGCCTCCGCAATCAGTGAGTCCATCAAGATTTAAACGTCTGTGAGGTTATTTGCGATGCGGATAGGTTTCCAATCATCGATCAGCAGAGGCGTTTGGACTGGTAGGCTGATCATTTCAATCGCATTTCATCTAGCCTTCACCGTTTATCCGTGTGTATAGTACACGCATTTGCTTACCCTGATTCGTCCGACTAGATACACCCAACAAAGCGAAAGTCTGCCTTGAGATTCGACACTTGAAGTGATTCAAGGTTGCTGGTTCAGAAGGACTTCCTCCGGAGCCGTTACAGTGCAGCGGCTTGGCAGCCATTACTCAACTAACATCCTTGTTCTCTAAAATATGGCACGGAGAAAATATGCATTCCTCTTGGGGCGAATCAGTTATCGTCCTGATTTATCAGAATGGCGCACACAATTCATGTATCAGTCATCGAAGGACTAGTCTAATCTCAGTTGCCTCCAAGCTACTGGCACCAGTCCTGCTTCACAGGCTATCGCCGATACGTGAAGAATAACCAGGTTTCTGTCCCGGCTGTGGATGCTTGTCTCAAAGCTTCAAGCTCCGACAACTCTTAGAACGCCTCCACCACCGCAGGCCTACCATCGTCGTATTCAAGTCAAGTCAATAAATTGC